GTTTAGGGTTAGGTTTAGGGTTAGGTTAAGGGTTAGGTTTAGGGTTAGGTTTAGGGTTAGGTTAAGGGTTAGGGTTAGGGTTAGGGTTAGGGTTAGGTTAAGGTAAGGGTTAGGTTTAGGGTTAGGTTTAGGGTTACGTTAAGGGTTAGGGTTAGGTTAAGGGTTAGGTTTAGGGGTTAATTTTAGGTTTAGCGTTTACAGCGTGCTTCTGTCTCCGCGCTGTTCTCGCCCTGTGATGACGTCAGCTATGCGGTTTCGTCGAGCGTGCTTTAGTCGAATGCGGTTTTGTGGTGGAACCGGACTGCAGGACTGTAACTTTGCTGTTGGTATCCTTCTGATTTATATTGATATTGATTGTTTCCTGATTGCTTATTTGTACCCTATGACTATCATTAAGCATTGTACCTTATGATTCTTGGCGACTGTATCTCGTCTTTTTATGCACCCTGAGAGCATTTGCACCAAAGACAAATTCCTTGTGTGTCCAATCACACTTGGTCAATAAAGAATTCCATTCCATTCTATTCTATTCTTCTTCTGTTCTGTTCTAGACTTATACCTGTTATCTTGTACATGCTTGACCAACTAAAAAAAAATTAGACCCTGCCTTTTGTATAATGGATCGAGGCAGCCTGCATTGTATTCCCTCCTGCTATTTTAAAAAATAACAACAACCCTGTGAGGTAGGCCGAGCTGAATGGAACTGGCCCAAAGTCCCCCAGGGAGCTTTTATCGCTGAGGAGGAACTTCAACCTATTCCAAATTTTAAAAAAAATAATAATTGTGGAGAATAATAATAATAATAATGGGGTAAACCAGACGGTTATCTCTGCGCCTGAGTAGCGGTAACAAACCTTCCAACCAGTACGCGGCTGCTTCTTCCGGAACCGACTTCGAGATTCAGGACGGAAGTGACGACAACACTTTCTTTTCTCCCGCGCGCCAATCAGCGAGGACGAGGAGGAGAGCTGCTCCCCAATCTTTCTCCCCAGCCCCGCCCATTCTCTCGTTTCTAGCCAATCGGAGGGCTTCGCTGTTTCTACCTGCCGTGGCAACCACGAAGCCGGGGATGCCGGGGGCGGGGAGTATAAAAGCCACAGCCTACGCTTTTGCCTCAAGGCCGCAACCAATCGCAGAAAGCCTCCGAAGACTTACCTGCCTTTCTGTCCCTTCTCCCACCTCCCTCTTGCTCTCTCTCCGCGAATCATCGAGTGGGGGGCGTGGCTTCTTTTCGACAGGACCCGCTCATTCGTTCGTCTCGGGCTATGGGCGCGGCCAGACGGTTTTCGGCCCCGCCTCCTTCCCGGAATCCGGGTATAAAAAGGAGAGAAACGGCGGCAGTCTTGATTTCGGTCGCTTGCTGCACGGTTATGCGGGTGTTTGCAGGGCTGTGGGGCGGGTGGCTCTTCTGCCTCGCCTGGGTCGGCGTTTTCGGGCGCGCCCAGAGCATCTTCGCCCATCCTCGCCTCTACGCGGCCTCCCGTCCCGATTCCTCCCGGCTCGTGGGGCTGCGCGCTTACCGCACTTGCTATATCGCCCAGAAGGTAAGGAAGGAAGAGCCGGGCGGCTTCCTCTCGAGCCCTTTCGTCGCAAAACATCCTATATTTCTTCCTCAACCCTCTCCCCTCAGTTTCCATTTTAATGGTGCCTGTCTCCAGTGGCTGTGAGTTCCGCATTCTAGAATAGAATAGAATATGGGAATGGAATAGGAATAGGACAGGACAGAATAGAATAGGAAAGAATACAACAGGAAAGAATAGGATAGGATAGAAAAGAATAGAATAGAAAAAATAGAATTGGAAAGGATAAGATAGGAAAGAATAGATAGAATAGGAAAAATAGAATAAATAGGAAAAAATAGAATAGAATAGGAAAAAATAGAATAGAATAGGAAAGAATACAATAGGAAAGAATAGAATAGAATAGAAAAAATAGAAATGGATAGGATAGGAAAGAATAGATAGAATAGGAAAAATAGAATAAATAGGAAAAATAGAATAGAATAGGAAAAAATAGAATAGAATAGGAAAGAATAGAATAGGAAAGAATGGATGGAATAAAAAAATAGAATAGGAATAGGATAGGAAAGAATAGAATAGAATAGGAAAGAATAGAACAGAATAGGAAAGAATAGGATAGAAAAAAATAGAATAGAATAGGAAAGAATGGATGGAATAGAAAAAATAGAATAGAATAGGAAAGAATAGGATAGGAAAGAATAGAACAGAATAGGAAAGAATAGAACAGAATAGGAAAGGATAGGATAGGAAAGGATAGAAAAGAATAGAATACAATACAATTATTTATTGGCCAAGTGTGATTGGACACACAAGGCATTTGTCTTTGATGCAGATGCTCTCAGTGTATATAAGGAGAATAAAATACATTCATCAAGAATAAAAAGAGAAGCCATCAAAAGCAATCAACCAAATGAACAGAAGTTGTGGGAGCTTCATCCCTGGAAGCTTTCAAGAAGAGACTGGACTGCCGTCTGTCAGAAATGGTGTAGGGTCTCCTGCTTGGGCAGGGGGTTGGACTAGATGACCTCCAAAGGTCCCTTTCCAACTCTCTGAATCTGAAAAGTGGACTGGCAAGCAAGCCAATAAAAAGTGGTCTGAATTTAATGCCGTGATAACTTTAACCGTGGTTTGCTGGATTCCTAGTAGCACATCCTGGATCCTATACAGTTTAGCAGGCCTTACCCATCGACATGCCTGGGACTACAGTGCATTTGACTCTGAGGTTGTGGGAAGACAGCAGAGGAGAATTTGCTGCAGGATGGAGGGATCCTAAATCAGGGTTGCTCAACCTTGGCCATTCTAAGTTATGTCTGTGATGGCCAATCTATGGCATGTGTGCCACAGGTGGCATGCAGTGCCCTCTCTATGGGCACAGGAGCCGTCACTCCAGTTCAACTCTGCCACGCATGCACATGTGCCTCCTGCTGGTCAGCTGGTCGTCGGGTCTCTGCCAAGCATGCCCCTGCATGTACCATGCGCATACACACACAGCTCCCTGTATGTGTCCGTCCCCCCCGTGTATGCATGGCAGAGACCCGATGACCAGTGGGAGGCAGCTGCATGTGCATGCAGGGGGGGGCTGTGCGGGTGTGGGAGGGCATGGCGGGTGTGTGCATGGATTGCATTTTGGGGGTTCGGGCACTTCAGTCCGGAAAAGATTAGCCATCACTGAGTTATGTGGACTTTAATTCCCAGAATTCTTCAATCGATGCGCAGCTAGTATACTGGCTGGGGAATTCTGGGAGTTGAAGTCCACACATCTCCCATGTTGTTGGAGTTGAGAAATGCTAGATTAGTGCATAATGTCAACCTGTCTTGTCTTGATGGACTAGGATGGCTGTTTCGAAAGGAACGGGGCTTGGGAAAGGGAAGAATGGATTGGGGAGAAAGTTTGCAAGATTGTGGAAAAAATATTGCAAATAGACGGTCCTTGGATGGCAGTCTGTGTATTAATTATTCTGATTTAAATGCTTTTCTGATGTCTTTGGAAAGTTTGGAAAGTTTGATGCTAAACATCAGGCTTATCAATGAAATAAGCCACTATCATTTGATATAGTCCTTGATTTACAATCACAATTGAGCCCAAAATTTCTGTTGCTAAGCAAGAGAGTTAAGCCATTTTTGTCCCACTTTATGACCTTTTCTTGCCACAGTTGTTGAGTGAGTCACTGAAATTAAGTTAAGTTACACGGTTGTTAAGTGAATCTGGAATCCGTCATAAATATGAGTTGTTTGCCAAGGGTCTGAATTTTGGTCATGTGACCATGGGGATGCTGGAACGGTTGCGTGAAAAATGGTGATGAGTCTCTTTCAGTGGAATTAAACGGTCGCTAAACGAATAGCGTAGCCTTTCTTGTCATTGTGCATCGTCTATACAACAAAATTGGTTTTAGCCTCACTGGTGCAATCCATGTCAAAAAATACAAACAACATAAATAGCATAAAGAATAATCCCTGTGCAAGAAATTAAGGGGAAAAAAAGAAAGAAAAACTAGTCATACGTTTCCACGTGTGCGTGGAGTGATTGTGGTTGTGTTTAAGAGTCTTAACAGCCCAAGGATAAAAACTATTTTTAAACCTATTTGTTCGACTGGCTACACTTCTGCCCCATGATAGAAGTGTGAAGAGACACTGACCGAGGTGTGAATCTTCTGTGATTGTAAGTCAAAGATTACTTGTAATAATTGGATGAGTAATGCTGACTTTTAAGGTGTGATTTTGAGAGTTTGCTGAGTTTTCAGAAGCTCAACTTCTATGCAAGATATATATATATATATATATATATATATATATATATATA